CTTGAGCCCAGGAGTTGGAGGTTGCTGTGAGCGTGATGCCATGGCACTCTACCCAGGGGGATAGCTTGAGGCTCCGTCTCAAAAATAAAAAAATAAATAAATAAAATAGTTACTATCTTACTAACATAAATATTAATAACTTCTATAAACTGATGAGAAAAATAAACTGTTATGATCAGAAAATTTATAAAAGAAGAAATATAGCTAAATAGTAAATATATGGAAAGAATTCATCCTAACAAACAAGATGCTATTTCTAATTCAGCATTTTCTTACCTTGATACTTACTGCCCTTTTGAGCTGGATAATTACTTGGTGTATGGGGACTACCCCACCCATTATAGGATGCTTATGTTTAGCAATATCCGTGGCTTATCAATAGATGCCACTAGCATTCCCATCCTGGTCATGACAGTCAAATGTATCTAGACATTACTATACGTCCACTTGGGAGCAAAATCTCTTTCAGTTGAACTGGAAAGAGTCTATCGACAACTCTGTTGTAGTCTATCAAACTGGCAAGTTTGTTAATTTGTGTGTATGGATATTATAATGGGCAATGGTAATCTCATATACTTTGCTGTCAGGAATAGACGATGAAGCACCACTCTTTTGGTTAAGAGTTTTTTTAAAATATAATTTACATACCATACACGTTACCCATTTAAAAGGTACAATTCACAAAAAATACAAGTAAATAAAAATAAATATAATAAAAGGTACAATTCATAGTCTGATCCAAACAATCCTCAACCCAAGCTTTACTCAGGAATGGCTGACAATAAAAACTGTATATATTTGAGGTGTACAACATAATGTTTTGAGTTACATATACATTGTGAAATGATTACCACGATCAAGCTAGCATACACATCACCTCATCTAGTTACTATTATATATATGTGGGGGGGGGGCAAGAATACATGAAATCTATGCTCAACAAATTTCAAGTGTCTATTATTAACTGTAGTTAACCATGCTGTATATTAATTAGATTCCTCAAACTTATTCATCTTATAACTGAACATTTGTTCATCAAACCAATATCTCCCCTCCTCTCACCTATCTCCCAGTCCCTAATCACTACCATTCTATTCTCTGTTGAACTCATAGTAGCAGGGATAGTTTTGAGACAAGCTTTGGGGCTTGCTGTGACCCCAAGAGGGCACTTCTTCACTTCACTGCCCAAGGTTCTCTATTCAACTTTTAAGTACTCTACCGTTTTGATTTTTGTTACCATAAAGTTAATAGTTTCCTCTTAATTATGGAGTATTGAAAGCTGTTAGTCCATCTATACCTAAATTGCTACTTCTGGAAATCCATCTTTTTTTTTTTGAGACAGAGTCTCACTCTGACCCAGGCTAGAATGCCACGACATCATAACTCACAGCAACCTCAAACTCTTGGGCTCAAGCAATCCTCCTGCCTCAGTCTCCTGAGTAACTACGAATACAGGCATTTGTCCCAACACCAGGCTATTTTTAGAGACAGGGTCTCACTCTTCTTCAGGTTGGTCTCCAACTCATAAGCTCAAGCGATCCGCCTGCCTCAGCATCCCAGAGTGCTGGGATTACTGGTGTGAGCCACCACACCTGGCCCTGGAAATCCATCTTAAGGTTATATTGCAAAATGTGATAAAAAGATTCATGTAGTTAAATACTTTCCATGTTGTTTTATAAATTATTTTTAAATCTTTACACAGAAATGGTGAAAAGTAGGATGATAGATTGTAGTATACTATTATTGCAAATATGCTAAAAAACCCAAAAATCTGACCAAGGAAAGAAAGGTACAGAAGGAAGTGTTAACAGACTGTCTACAGTGGGGAAAGTCCCTTTATTCCAGTCTTAGGTTCTAAATCCACTGTATCCTAAGATAATGACCACACTTTTAAAAATCCTTTGCTTCATTCATTCTTAAATTACATGAGATTCTCCAAAGCACTTTTAATACTATTCCTAAGGAAATCATCCATAAGATAAGTATTAAAGGACATATAAAGTAAGGATATTTAGAATTCGTATTCACAAAATTCCTTTTGAGAAGAGTTAGTTAACAGATATACTATATTGATTTATTTTGAACATAGAAAACTAAGGCCAGGGTGAATTATATGGTATGTGAATTATGTATCAGTAAATAATTATATATCTTAAAAACTATATTTTTTAAAAAGAAAAGCAAAGAAACTAAGACTGAAAAAAATCCCTTATTCTGGTATTTCAAATCATGTTTACAGGAGCCTTTGTTATTTAAAATTATCTGGGTGGCTCAGGCCAGTAATCCTAGAACTCTGGGAGACCAGGGCAGGTGCATCACTTGAGCTTAGGAGTTCAAGACCAACCTGAGCAAGAGTAAGGCACCCTCCCGCTCACCGCCACTACTACTCCCTACCCCCTCACTCCTCATCTCTGCTAAACAATAGTCAGGCATTGTGGTGGGCACCTGTAGTACCTGCTACTCTGAGGGCTGAGGCAAGAAGTCAGCTTGAGTACAAGAGTTTGAGGTTGCTGTGAGCTATGATACCACAGTACTCTACCCAGGGTAACACAATGAGACTCTGTCTCAAAAAAAAAAAAAAATTATCTGGATGATTTCAGGGATGCAAGCCTGGCTCAATATTCAAAAATCAATCAATTTAATCTATTATGTCAACAGGCTAAAGAAGAAAACTCATTTTATCTTATCAATAGGTGCTGAAAAATTATGAGAAAAATTCAACACCAATTCATGTAAAAACTCTCAGAAATATGGTAATAGTACTCTTTTTTTTTTTTTGAGATGGAGCCTCAAGCTATCCCCCTGGGTAGAGTGCCATGGCATCATGCTCACAGCAACCTCCAACTCCTGGGCTCAAGCGAGTCTCCTGCCTCAGCCTCCCAAGTAGCTGGGACTACAGGCGCCCACCACAGCGCCTGGCCATTTTTTGGTTGCAGCCATCATTGTTGTTTGGCGGGCCCGGGCTGGGGATTCAAACCCGCCACCTTAGGTGTATGTGGCTGGCGCCTTAGCTGCTTGAGCCACAGGCGCCGAGCTGGTAATAGTACTCTTAATAGTGAAATACTAAATGTTTTCCCCCAATATTGGGAATAAGGCAGAATATTCAATTTTACCACTCTTATTTGACATAGTACTTAAGTACTAAACAGTGCGAAAAGATAAGAAAAGGCATAAAGTTCAGAAAGGAAAAAATAAAACTGTCCTTTTTTAAGATAACCTGGTTGTCTACACAGAAAATACCAAGGAGTCTGCAGAAAAGTTTCTAAAATTAGTAGGTGAATTTGGCAAGGTCTAAGAATATAAGATTAAACATTTAAAAATCAATATTGGCTTAGCACATGTAGCGCAGTGATTATGGTGCCAGCCACATATACTGAGGCTGGTGGGTTTGAACCTGGCCTGAGGCCAGCTAAACAACAACGACAACTGCAACAAAAAATAGCCAGGCATAATGGTGGGTGCCTGTAGTCCCAGCTACTTGGGAGGTTGAGGCAAGAGAATTGCTAAACCTAAGAGCTTGAGGTTGCTGTGAGCTGTGATGCCACCACACTCTATGGAGGGTAACATAGTAAAACTCTGTCTGAAAAAAAAAATCAACAATATTTCTAAATACTGACAATAAATACAATGATAGCAAAATTAAAACGAGAATACCAATTATAATAGCTCAAAAGAACAAATACTTTCTGCTTTGTAGTTGAAAATCTAACAAAACATGTACAAAACTTACATTCTAAAAACTACACAAAGCTAGTAAAAGAAAGCAAAGAATAAATAAGACAACCATGTTCCTGGATTGGAAGCCTTAGCATAGTGAAGATGCAAATTCTTCCCAAATTTATATACTATACAGGTTTAATACAATCCCTATCAAAATTCAAATTTGATTTTCTATAGCTATAGAAATATTATTTTAAAATTTATAAGGAAAGCAAAAGAGATTAGCTAAAACAATTTGAAAAAGAAGACGAAGACTTATTATGTAAAGTAACTACACTATTCAATATTATGTGGTATTGGTGAAAAAGGCAGACACATATATCAGTGTAAAAGAATAGAAAACCAAGAAATAGAATTAAAAAAAAAATGTCCAGCTGATTTTATCACAAAGGTACAAAATCAATTCAATGGGAAACAGATAGCTTTTTCAACAAATTATATTGGAGCACTTGGATACCCATAGGCAAAAAAAATTTTTTTAAATGTACTACTATGTAAACCTCACACCTTATGCAAAAATCAACTCAAAACAATCATGAAATTAAATGAATAAATAAAACTATAAAGCATTTGTAATAAGACCTAGGAAAAATCCTTGGAATCTATAGTTATGACAAATAATTCTAAGACTTAAGGCAAACCATAAAGGAAAATTGATAAATTAGACGTCACCAAAACTTAAAACTCTTTCTGAGAAAAACCCTACTAAGAGGATAAAACAGTAAGCTACATATATAGTGAGAGAACATATTTGAGCTTATCTGATAATGGATTAGTACCTAGAAAATATAAAGATCTCCAAAGATCTCCATATTGATCATTTTAAAAAGCAATCAATCCAGTGAGAACATAGATAAAAGACATGAAAAAACATTTCACTGAAAAAGATATAAAAGTAGAAAATTTCAACCTCAACAGCCATTAAGTAAATGCAAATTTAAAACCATGTAGCACTATATACATTTCAGAACAGCTAAATTAAAAAAATAGTGACCCCACCAAATTCTGGCAAAGATGTGGGAAAACTAGATCACTCATATGGTTGGTAGGAATACAAAATGGTACAAACACTTGAAAAACAGTTTGAACAATGAACAGTAAAAAATGAATCAAAGGTATGAACCCAAAATTGTACTCCCATGCATCTACAGAGAAATGAAGACTTATGCTCACAGAAAAACTTGTACACAAGTGTTTCTAGTCATTTTATTTGTAAAACATCCAAACTGAAATAACCCAGATGTTCTACAATGTTAAATAAACTGTGTCACACCAATAGCATGAATACTACTCAGCAATAAAAGAAATGAACTAATGATACATGTAACAACCTGGATGAATCTCCAGAGAATTAAGCTGAGTGGACAAAAAGCCAATTTCAAAAGGCTACATACTGTATTATTCTATTTTATATAACTAACATTCATGAAATAATAAAATCATGGAAATAAAAAAAAACAGATTAATGGTTGCCAAGGGTTAAGGAGGAGTTGGGGATAGGAGGGTAGATAGAGCTACAGAAAGGTAATATAAAGGATCTCGAGATGGAGATGTTCTGCACCTTGCCCCAGTCAGTCAACAGACATAGTTCTGCAGCATATATAGTTTTGTAAAATGTTACCATGGGGCAAAATCAGGCAAAGGGTACTCAAGTTCTCTATGCATTATTTCCCACAATTGCACGCAAATCTATCACTACTGCAAAATAAAAAGCTTAATTCATATTTTAAGTATTTGAGTGCCCTCTAGCTGTCTCATTCAGGTGAAGAAATACAAAAAGAAACAGGATGATCCAAGGAGTGAGGAGGAGATAGATGGACATAAATAATTAAATTCTGAGGCAAAAAGATTAATGGCAGGAGTATTTTAAAGTACTATGGAAATAGGAAATAGGCTAAGAAGCTTGGAGTAGTATCTTCAAGATATTTTAAAAATTAATATAAATCATCAACAAGATTTATATATAATTTTGCTAAGGGCAATTATTTCAAAACTTTAATAAGATTACTAGAATATATCCTACTTGGTCATGGTATATTATTTTTATAAACTTTGGCATAATATTAATATTATCATATTAAGATTATACCATATTAATCTTCTGGTATTTCAGCTTTATAGTGCGTCAACTGTTACTTTGGCAACATGTAGGACTTTCCTAATTTGAAAACAAAGTTTAAAAAATTATAAGAATGTATTGTTTGAATTTTTACAATGAGCATCTGTTTATGAGTCACTTTCATCATTAAAAAGAACCTGCTGAAATAAAAAATAATTTAAAGAAGAGTCTGGTATATACCACTTCCTTAAAACATTAACAGTAGATTCTTACAGAAATAAACTAGATACATAATTCTTAAATGCATAATCAAACAGTACACTAACAAACTAGGAGGTCCATTAGGGTTTGGAAATAACAGAAATCCATGAGCAGTGTGGTCAACTAGATTATTTTTAATGTACTTAGGGAGAAAAACCTATCCTACTTAAAAGAATCCAGCCCCAAAGCTAGTTGAGATACATACATGACCAATATTTGCTGATATTTCAATTATACTATGCAACTTTTAGACATATTCCTTTAGGATCTGGGCTCCCTCTTTCTCCCCAGACTTATCCTAGCTACTTTTTCCTGTGCCTGCTATACTTGCCATTACAAATTACTTTAGAAAATACTTAAGAAGACGCATCTTCCTCCTTGCCTATGCTGCTTTTCCCTCTGAATGGGATGCCTCATCTCTTCCTAATTTAGTAGTACCTCTTTGTGAACTCTCCCAGATACCTTTTGGTCAAATAGGAATTTCCTCTATAAAACCTGTAGTATTTCTTATTACTATTAATATAACATTCATCCCAGATTACTTATATGTCAATATGAGAATGTTCTTGAGGGCAAGAATATTATATTCTCACTGGCAAGTACAGTATCAGACTGTAAAAATCAGATACAATCTAAAAGAACATAGCCCATTAGTAGATAAATGTAGCTTAAAAGAATATTGTTAGGGTTAAAATTCAGGTGAACAAATCTCAACCTCGTTCTTTGCTGATTGCTATGTCAATGTGTTTTAAAATTCTTCTGGACAAAACAAAATGTAAATTACACAGTCAAAGGAAGAGTTTCTGTTACATTCTTGAATTTTCTGGAACTCAGGTGCCATAAATTAATTTCTTAGATTTTAAAAGTAAAATCTAAAGTTAAAAGATATGGCTTGATATAATATATTAAAAAGAACTTACTTTTCTAAAATTGTACTATCTTTACAATAACAGCAATTTTTAAAGAAACAATAAAAAATGTATTACATACCATTTCTATTTCTTGATCTTTAGCAACTAGCTGTCGATTAAGAAGTTCTTTGCTTGAGTCAAGTTTAATACAGAGTTCCCTTGTAGAAGATAAATCCGCAAGGGCAGACACTTTCTCAAACTGAACCTTCTGAAGCTCCTCTTCCATCTTTACAACAGACTTATGTAAGGTAGAAATCTGGGACTTATAAGACCTTTCTGCATTTAAATGCTGTAAGGACAAAATTATTTCTATAGATATGTATATATGTGTGTGCATATATATATATATATTTTTTAAACTACAACATGGAAAGTAAAGTGAAGCAAATCTTCTATGGTAGACTATAAGATGTTTTAGACAATATAGGTAGTAATAGTATGTACAGAATACCCTAGGAAAGACAAATTCAGTTCTCAAATTTTTTACATAAAATCCAGGAACTGCATGGTCAACTGGTCATTATTTTTAATGTATTTAGGGGGAAAAAACCTAACTTACTTAAAATTCTCCAGCCCCAAAACTAGTTGAGATATATACATGTTTGATCTATAGTTCTATCTATATTTACCACAGTTTTGAGCTTGCAATCAAACATGTAAGGACACAATCCCCTCCCAACTGAGAGTCAAAGCAGCATACAGAGCTAGACATCTAGCACTTCAAATTATGGAACAAAATATTTTAGAAGGTATGGGAAAGTATGCTTAAAAGTATTAAAGACATGGAGGACTTTGGAAAAAAAGAATAATGCATACAAAAAATAACAGATTCAATAAAAATATCTGAAAGGAAAAATAAAGTACTGGCTGAAACAAAAAATTAATGAAAACATCAAAAAACAGACTGGTCCAAGTGAAGAGGGAAGAATGAACTAGAAGACAGGTCACAGAACAGAGATAAATATTTAGAAGCTATGTTAAAAAGATTAATAAACATGGGACTAAAAGAAGAAGATCCAAAAAGCCTAAGAGTTAAGGAAAGAACATTTGGAATTTGGAAGCATAATATTAAAAAAATAACATGAGACTTTTCCAGAACTAATAAAAGGCATGAATACTATGATTGAAAATAAATGACAGCCAGAAAAAAAATCGTAATTAGACATAACAGGGAAACTAAAAACAATGAGAAAGACTTTAATACACAATGCAATACTACTCAGCTTTAAAAAAAGGAATGAAGGTCAGGGACGTGCTGGCTCACACCTGTAATCCTAGCACTTTGGGAGGATGAGGAGGTAAATCATTTGAGCTCAGGAGTTGGAGACCCACCTGAGCAAGAGCAAGACCTGTCTCTAAAAACAGCTGGGTGCCTGTAGACCCAGCTATTTAAGGCTGAGGCAAGAAGACTGCTTGAGCCCAAGAGTTTGAGGTTGCTGTGAGCTATGATGCCACGGCATTCTAGTGAGGGCAACAAAGTGAAACTCTGTCTCAAAAAAAAAAAAAGGAATGAAATTATGTTTTTTTGCAGTAACATAGATGGAACTAAGGCCCTTATGTTAAGTAAAACTCTAACATGATTGCATATGTAGAATATCCTTTTAAAATCTAAAAATATATATGTATATATCTACTAGAACTAAAAAATCCCTACCAGAACTAAAAAATCCAATTTAAGCAATTATTTCAAAATAAAAGGTCACATAATTCTATTCTGTGTATAGGCTACCAAAAATTGGAATGTAAAATTTAAGAATAAACTATAATTTACAGTGGCATCTATAAAACCTATAAGATAATATGTGATACATTTAACAAAATATCTATAATACTTTTATACTGAAAAGTATAAAACATTGTTGAATACACAAGCAACCTAAATAAACAAATGAATGCACACACACATTTCTGGATTCGAGGATTCAATATTGTTAAAATCTCAATTGTCCCTAGTTTGAACTATACATTCAAAACAATGCTAATCAACCTCCAGAAGGTTTCCTTCTATAGAAAATGGTAAGTTCATTCTAAATTTATATGGAAGTGCAGTCTCCCTTTCTTGCCCTTCTACCTTTTGCAAGAAGGCATTCATAAGACAAGGTTACTAGATCTTAACTTCCCAGTCTTCAGACCTATTTGTATTTAATATTTTAAGAATGCAGAGAATCTATAATAGCCAAACATTTTGAGAAAGAACACATGTGGAAGATTCACGCTAATTCACTTTAACAGTTAATATAAAAATATATTAATCAAGACACTGTCATACTGGTTAAGGATAGGCATGGAATAGCAGAGAGTGCAGAAATAGACCCACATATATGATTATTCAATTTTTTCCAAAGGTTATTACATAATTTGTTGGTGAAATTATAGGCTTTCGATAAATAGTGCTGAACAACTTCACATCCATATGGGAAAAAATGAACCTTGACTTTCATATACAAATATTAATTCAAAATTAATTGAAAATTTAAAAAATTTGAAAAATTTTAAAAATATGGTAAATTGGACTTCATGAAAAATGTAAAACTGCTCTTAAAAAGATTCTATTAAGAAAATAAAAAAAACAAGCCAATGACTGGGAGAAAACATTCAAATTCATGTATCATAGAGCTAAAGATAAAATCTAAAAATATTAAATCCCTAAAATAAATTAGGACATGGAAGTACAAAGCATAAAAGAAAACTGGTAAATTGCAAAGGAGTGTAAGTCATCTTCAAAAAAAACCCACTTGGGATGTTTATCACAGCACAATCCACAACTGCAAAGCTATGGGATTAACCTGAGTGCCTAAAATAATGAGTGGATAAAGAAAATGTGATAGAAAATATATATACCACCAAATACTACTCAGCCATTCTTTTCATAAAAAAGAATGAAACAAAGCTTTTGCAACAATTTGGATGGAACTGGAGACTACCATCCTAAGTGAAGTATCTCAGGAATAGGGAAAAAATACATGTTCTCATTCCTAAGTGAGAGCTAAACAATGGGTACACAGCCGTAAAGAAGAATAAAGGACACTGAAAAGGAAGAAAAGCGGGGGGAGGTGCTGAGCATGATGGCTTAAGCCCTAATCCCAGAACTCTGGAAAGCTGAGTTGGGAGGATCACTTGAGCCCATAAGTTTGAGACCAGTATGAAAAACATAGTAAGACCTTGTAGCTACCAAAAAAAATTAGGTAACAGCAATAGTGCACACCTGGAGTCCCAGCTACTCAGGAGGCTGAGCCTGGAGGATCACTGGAATTGGAGGGAATTGCAGTCTAGGTAATAGATGGAGACCCTGCCTCATTAAAAGGAAAGGGGGTGGGGGGGCTTGGCACCAGCCACATACACCAGAGGTGGCAAACCCAGCCTGGGACTGCCAAACAACGACAACTACAACCAAAAAATAGCTGGGCATTGTGGCGGATGCCCGTAGTCCCAGCTACTTGGAAGGATGAGGCAAGAGAATCGTTTAAGTCCAAGAGTTGGAGGTTGCTGTGAGCTGTGACGCGACAGCACTCTACTGAGGGTGACATAGTGAGACTCTGTTTCCAAAAAAAAAAAAAAAAAAGAAAGAAAGAAAAGGAGAAAAGAAGGAAGAGAAAGAAAGGAAAGGAAAGGAGAGGATGAGAGAGGAGTTAGTGATCAGAAATTACTTATTGAGAACAATGTACGTGATTCTGGTGACAAGTCCACTAAAAGCCCTGATTTTACAATTCATCTACTTAACAAAAATGAACTATCTTCTAAATCTATTGAAAATTTTTAAAAATATGGTAAATTGGACTTCATGAAAAATGTAAAACTGCTCTTAAAAATATTCTATTAAGAAAATAAAAAAAACAAGCCAATGACTGGGAGAAAACATTCAAAATTCATGTACCTAAAAATTAGTGTTCAAAAAATTCCTATAACTTAATGACAAGAAGATAAACGTCCCAATAAAAATACAGACAATGGATATTTGAACAGATACTTCACAAAAGAAAATTATTAACCAATAAGCATGTAAAAAGTTACTCAGCAATGTACACAGTTACCATTCAATAAAAAAAAATAAAAAATAAAAAAATAAAAAGTTACTCAGCATCAGTCATGAAGGAAAGGCAAAGTAAAAGAAAAATGGGATAACCCTACACATCTATCAATAGTATCAAGTTCGGAGAAGATGTAGAGCAACTGAAACTATCAGGGAATGCAAGTAGAAGTGTAAAATGAGACAGCCACTTTGGAAAACAATTTGTCAGTTTCTTTAACAAGTTATGCATACTTCACATATGATCTAGCAATTCCACTGAGTTATTTATCAAGAAACATAGAAACTCAAGTGTGCATGAAGACCTGAACACAAGGTCCACAGAATTCTTTTCCTAATGGCCCCAAACTGAAACCACCGTTATGGAATGAAGTGCATCCCCTCAATTCATATGCTGAACCCTACCCCGCAATGTGACTGTATTTGGAGACAAGACCTTTAAAGAGATAATTACAGTTAAATGGGGTTATAAGGATGGGACCCTAGTCCAGTATAACTCGAGTCCTTATAAGAATAAGAAGAGACATCGAGGATGCACCTTCACAGAGGGAAGGCCATGTGAGCAAGAAAGCAGCCATTTGCAGACCAAGGAGAAAAGCCCTAGAAGAAACCAAACCTGCCAGCTCTAAGATCTTGCACTTCGTGCATCTAGAACTGTAAAAATATATATTCCTACTGTTTAAGTTACTCAGCCTGTGATATTTTGTTGTGGCATCCCTAGAAGATTAACATATAATCTAAATGTGCAACAACAGGTAAATAAACAAATTGTGAAACAGCTATACTACTAGTCAATGAAAAAAAAGAAACAAACATGTAACAACATACCTTCAAAAACCCTATACTGAATGAAAGTCAAGATACAATAAGTACAATACTGTGTGATCCCATTTATATAAAATTCTAGAGAAGGCAAATCTAATCTGTAGTGACAAAAAGCAATTTTGGATAGATGACCACCAAAGGGTTTGAGGGAATGTTAGGAAGGTGATGGAAATGTAGTGGTGACTATACAAGTCTACATGTTTGTCAAAACTCACTGAACTGTGTACTTACAGTAAGTGCTTTTTATTTAATGTAAATTATATTCAATATAGTTTATTTAAAAATTAGATTTACCAGAAGTTTTTAAATAATAAATTAAACAGTCATGCTAACATATAAAAGCATACTTTGAAGCAAAAGTGTTATTCAAGTAAGTCATCAGACACTGATAAAGGGAGTATTCCTATCAGAAATATATAAAAATACTGAACTGGTATGAAACTAACAGTAGTCCTAAAAATAAAAATTGAGAAAACCAGAGGAAAATAGATAAAATTATAGAGGAAGACCTTAACATATCTCTTTCAGTAATTGAAAGATCAAGAATACAAATTTAGTAAGGATTTATAGGCACTGACTGATACTATTAACAAGCCTAATCTAAACTTGATACTAAATGTTTAGAATGTTCAACATATGATACAATATTGAGCAAACTGGGCAAGTTGCAAATGGCTTATATACAACACATATATATGCACCCAACAATAAGTGAACACTGATGATTTTTAAGAATATTATCAAACATTGATTGTGTACCCTGCCACTAGGAAATTCTTAATAGATACCAAAGAATATTATATAAGCCATTTTATCTGGTCACAATATCAGCTATATTAGACATCGAAGTATTAGGACACAATAAATATTAGATACAATGAAAAATAGAATAACCTCAAGTTCTTGTACATTGGAAATTTTTTAAAACTTCAGTGACAAAAAATAAAATATAATGGAATAAGATATTTAAAAGTGAATGGAAATGAAAGTATTACCTCAAAACTTGTGGGTTGGAGCCAAAGAAATATTTAGAGAAAAAAATTATGCATATAAAACAAGAAATATATAAAATTATGAGATGTGATCAATTTATCCTAAAATTTATTTGACAGAGTTTCATTAGATCTAAGCACAATCAAAATAATTTGGGGGAACATTAATCCTCCCAAATGTCAAGGTAACATAAAAAAAGGTAGCGATTAAGAGTGTATTATTAGCAAGGGGATAGATAAAGAGACTAATGGAGCAGAATGTATGGGAATTTATTTTTATGACAAAGTAGATTGATATTTCAATGAAGAAAAGATTATAGATGTCTATTCACAAAAATAAAAAATTGTATCTTTAAGTTATAAACAAAATTAATCTCAAATAGATTAAATCTTAAATATAAAGGACAAAATTTCACAGACTTTCAGAATAACTTTTTTTTTTTTTTTTTTGAGACAGAGCCTCAAGCTGTCCCCCTGGGTAGAGTGCCGTGGCATTACAGCTCACAGCAACCTCCAACTCCTGGG